GGGGGAAAAGAAGAAAGACCAAGATAAATCTATTAAAAAACTGATATAAAAAGCATAAGAATAAAATAAGTAAAAAGAACTTTAAAAAATCCCAATGGCAGAAAATTTGAAAATATATTGTAACCAAATAAGAATTTTCTGTGAAAATAAAATCTAAGCATACAAAAGAACTACTCCAGATTAAATATATGACCTGGTTTTTAAATAGAGGAAAACTAGAGCATAAAAATATCTCAAAGATTAAAAATGAGATTTCTGAAATTTCAAATGGAATTAGTTAAAACACAGCCGATGACATTTCCCAAGATGTAAAAGAAGGACAACAATAAGACAAATGGAAAATCCAACTAATGGACGAGAGACCCAGGTACCACTTTAAGATGTCTGACATCCCACTAAGGGGGCTGTCATCTAGCAAAAGCATAAGATTAAGAAGAAATTATTAAAAATAGAAAATTCTGAATCATAGGGACAGAAATCACTAGACAGAAGAAACAAATCACATCATATTCTTTGTAAAGTGGCAGCAAAATAAAATGTGCATAGGGAAAGGCACATAAAGCTAAGTATAAAAGAATGCAAGTCAGACAGGCAGCTGTCTTCCAGTCCATAGCGATACTAGAAGACAAAGGAGCAATGTCATAATGATTCTGAGATGAATGACTGTTCAGCCTGGAGTGTCCAACCTAAGGAATCTAGTCATCACTCAAACATGCGAAGATACCCAGATACCCAGATACTGCTTTGTGTTTCATGGGTCCTTCTGTAGGTAGTCGAATAGGCATGTACCATGAACAAATGAACACACAAATCAAATGCAGGCAAACATCGGACTGCAAGATATTCAACACAGAAAATTAGGAACAACGCTGCAGGATGAAGGCAGATAATGAGGCCTGGAAGTAAACCTCAACAAAATGTCAAGCAAAGAGTGGACTCCAGGCAGTGGCCTCTGGGGAGAAAGTACAGTGGTCAGAAAAGGTTAGATAGGATAATCTAAATGTTTGTAAAACATAGTGATATGCTAAAGTCTCATAATCAATGTTAAAAAGGAAAGATAGAAAATTAGAATTGAGGAAAAGACTCTTGTACATTGAAGCATATGTGGCTCAATTATAAAACAATAAAATGTAAAATCTGAAGCAATTGGTGGTATGAGAAAGTCACCTTGTCACCTTTTTTTTTTTTTTCATGAATGTATTTTGGTCATTTACATGTCTCCATTGCCCTCCCTTATCTTGTAACCTTGACGCTAAGGCTTTCCCCCCAAGAGTGGCTCAGAAATCATCAATGAGATCTCAGGATTCATGAGTGTTTAGATTAAAGCAGATAGTGAAAAACAATCTCATCGAAACACATTGTACATTTGACATAAAATAAATATGCAACCTTACATGTAGTAAATAACAAAGTGCATAACAAAACACAGGCTTACAAGTGAATAAATAACACAAATTACAGGTGCTCTTTAAGTTAAGTGGGATTATATCCTAATAAATATTATAGCTTAGCATATTCCCTATTAGACCTGTTCAGGAAACTTCCATTAACCTACATTTAAGCAAAATCATCTAACACAAAGCTTATTTTTTAAAAAAGTGCTTAATACCTTGTGTAATTTATGGAATACTTGTTTCCAAAATGTGCTACTGACAGAGTACCTTGTGGGGTGTGGGTTGTTTGTCCATGCTGTGGCCTGCTACCATTGGCCAACGTATGACAGAGTGCTGTACTACACTTTGCTAGCTGAGGAAAGACCACAATTCAAAACTTCTATGGCCTCTACTAAGTGATGTCATACCGTTGCAAAATTTAAAAATTTATAAGCCAAGCCACTGGGAATTAGAGACCATCTAGAGTTGGTAAACACTAGCAGTTCATAAATCAGATGACTTTTCATCTAATTCCATTGCATTTTGGAGTTTGTCATAGTGTTCCTTTAAGATGGAGTTAATAGTAATAATAATAACAATCATAATAATGTATCTTAGGCAGCTCAGTCTGTCATAATAAAATACTATGGGCTAGATGGACTGAAAAATAAATTCATTTTCTTATGGTTTTGGAGGGTAGTAGTGGAGTTCAGGGTGATGGTATGGATAGTTTCCATGCCTCTTCCCTTGGTTTCCTGATGACTACCTTCTCTCTGTGTGCTCACATGATCTCTTTGGATTTTCTGCATGGGGGAGAGATCATTCATTGTGCTGTCTCTTTCTATAAGGGCACAAATCTCATGGGACCCTATCCTCATGAATTCATCCAATCCTACTTCCAATCCCCAAAGACCCCCATCTCCAGCACCATTACCTTCAGTTTCAGGGCTTCAGCCTATGAATTTTTGAGAACATGTTTGGTCTATAACATAGGTTTAACATTTACATGTACCCCTAATTTTATTTTATTTTTTTTTCTCATTGAGTTTATTGGTACATTTTAGGTATACAGTACAGTTACATTCATCATTGGGATCTTGTACCTTTACATGACAGGTCTTGGTTCTCATTTTTTCCCTTTGTCCCTGCCCTCCCTTCACCCTCTCCTCCCCTCCCCATTTACAAATATTTTAGCCCTTTTCTTCCTATTTTACATTGTCAATTATACCATTAGGATCTTATGTACTATTATAGTTTTTCACCAGAGAAACTATTCGGAATTTACACATGTGTGATTTATTTATTTGACTTAGGAGTATATCCTCAGTATGTATCCATTTTTCTATGAATGACTCTAATTTCTCATTCTTTTTTTTTGGTACCGGGGATTGAACTCCGGTCCTTGCGCTTGCAAGGCAGGCCACCGAACCACTGAGCTAAATCCCTGGCCCCTAATTTCTCATTCTTTATGGCTGAGTCGTATTCTATTTTATAGAGAAACCACATCTTCTTTATCCATTCTCCAACTGATGGGCAAATGGGCTGTTTCCAAGTTTTAGCTATTATAAACTGTCCCACTAAAAACATAGGTGTGCATATATCTCTGTGATATGATTCTTTTAATTGTTTTGGAAAGACACCCAGCAGAGGGATGGCTGGGTTAAATGGAACCTCTAATCCCAGCTCTTTGAGGTATCTCCATATTGATTTCCATAGTGGTTGCACCAGTCTGCACTCCCACCCACAATGGAGAAGGATTCCTTTCTCCCCACAACCCCTCCAATATTTGTTATTGGTTGATATCTTGATAGCAGCCATTCTTTGTGGGGTGAGGTGGAATCTCAGTGTTGTTTTCATCTGCATCTCTCAAATGACCAGAGATGTGGAACATTTTTTCATATATTTACTTGATGCTTTTATTTCTTTGTCTGAGAAATGTCTGTTCATTTCAGATGCCCATTTTTTAATCGGGTCTTTATATTTGGGGTGGCTGATTGTTTTGATTTCTTTATATATTCTAGATAAGAGTCCTTTGTCTGAGGAGCAGCTGATAAAAATTTTTTCCCACCTTGTAGGTTGTCTCTTAGTTCTGTTGATGGTTTCTTTTGCAGTGCAGAAGCTTTTTAGTTAAGACAAGATCCCAGTTGTTGATTCTTTCTGCTAGTTCCCGTTCTACTGAGGATTTGTTCATAAAGTCTTTTCCTATGCCAATGTCTTCAAGAGATCTGCCTAACTTATCTTCCAGCAAGTTTAGTGTTTCCTTTTTAATATTTAGATCCTTAATCCACTTGGATTTTACTTTAGTGCATGGTGAAACATGAAGTTCTAGTTTTAATCTTTGGTAGGTTAAAATCCAGTTTTTCCAACACCATTTATTAGAGACTGTCTTGCCTCCAGTGAGGGTGGTCAGCTCCTTTGTCAAAGATGAGGTAGGTGAGTACATCTGGAGTTGTTCTTGTATCTTCCAGTCTGTTCTACTGATCCTCAGGTCTGTTTCTTTGCCAGTACCATGCTGTTTTTATCACAGTAGTACGCCTAATTTTAGAAAAAATATTATTATGCTATTTAAAATAAAAGTAAGAATAGTTCATTTCTGGTATTTTATGAAATACTGTTGGTATAAAGGTGTTTTAGCCTCAAACTTTAGGACAATCAGAATTACAGAATTGTTCTGTGCATCTTTTAAAATTATTCTTAATTACATCTGCCTTTGATTGCAGTTGCTGAATTTATGGATATGTACCATCTTCTGTAGCTACATGATTAAGTCTCCAAAGATTGATTTCACTACAATTTTGAATCGACTGGCTTCACTTACTGCTGCATTTTAAGTTTCAAATTTGCGAAGCAGCACTGCTATCTGGATTATACCAGCAAATATTTTGTTATTGGGAGCATACTAAGAACAGAAGAACACTTAGAAAGTTGATTTAAGAGAACATTAATGTATTATAAAAATAAATTTTTAGAATCAACATATTTTGAAGCACAATTAGAAATATAGTTTAAATTTTAGTATCACATTTTATTTTATATTTTTTTGGTACCGGGGATCAAACTCAGGTCCTTGCGCTTGCGAGGGAGGTGGTGGAACCACTGAGCTAGATCCCCGGTCCTAGTATCACAATTTAAATAAACTTCAATGAGCAAAACACATTTAATGACAGAATATAGCTAGAAATACTGAAGTTATAACAGTGTGTACTAAGGAATGTTTTTGAACTGGACTTGTTAATTTCCTGTTACACTAACAGTGATTGCCAATTTATATATTCTTTCATGCCATTTAAATTGTGGAGGAACAATTGTGCTAAATTGCTAGGATCTCATTAATTTAAAAATACATAGCAGGAGTAAATTCTTACACAGAAAAATAAATTTTACCTGTATGACAATTTCATATCTCTGATAATGTCACTTAATAATTAAGTTGTTGTAGGTGTTAACATTTTTTGACCACTGCTAATATTCTAGATCTAACACTGGGGCATATTTTTATGCTAAGAGTAGTGAACAAGGTATGTGTGTGAGAGGTTAGCTTCCCTTTGACTGGAATTCTGGGGCCTCTGAATCCAAGCCTTTTGTTAAATTGTAACTTCCACAGGGTGGTTGCTTCTGTCTTTCCAGGTGATGACGCCAGGGAGGCAGTTAAACGTGGCATGGATGGGATCTTAGTGTCCAATCATGGGGCTCGACAACTCGATGGGGTGCCAGCCACAGTGAGTCTCTACATGTGCTGGGATTACCTTTAGAGTCTCCATTTCTATCTCAGTTTTGACTATCTCTATGTCTGCCTCTGTTCTGTGTATGTTTTGTGTGATTGCTCAAGGTAAAACTATGTGTGAATAAGTGCAACCTCAAATTTTAAATGGCTTAGAACTACCTTCAATTGTTAGTATAGTTAGTTTTAATTAACCCAATGCACTAATCTGTAAATTTATAAAAAAAGTCCCTGTTAAATAGAAAGGAATTTGCAGGTAGGGCTTATTCTTGAAATCATAGGTACATCAACAGATATAATTTAAGCTTGTGTATGAAAGATTAAATTATGAGACTTCAAAGAATATGAACTAGTAAATAATTGTAGGAGTTAGAAAAGGCTTTGGCATAGTTTGAGATCCTGGGTGCCATTACGAATAGAAGCCAGAAGGAAGGATAGATTAGAATTTCCTGGTGGGGTAGGAAGCTGAAAATCTACACGGACAAAGTGGGGAGTCCAGAGGTGTTATAAAGAATGCAGAGGGAAAGTCTGCTGCAAATGGGCTGCTCGGGTTGAGTTGTGAGGGGCCTTTGCTACACATTGGAATTACCAGGGGAACCTTAAAGAATCGCAATGCCCAGGCAGGCTACCCCTCAGATCAATGCATCAGCATCCTGGGGTGAGGGGAGGCACTTAGGTACCAGTGTGTTTTAAATTTACCAGGAAATTCCAATGTGCATCTCTTGTTTTCAGACACTATATGCAATGTGCTGATCAAATCACAGTCCAGAATGTAAATAAAGAATTAAATTACCTTCAAGGTATGGTACTGAGTTAGAACTGTGCAGAGAACGATTTAGTCCCAAGGGAGCCCAAGGCCAAGGAAACTAACAGAAGCTCTGGGAAAAATTTTGCTATCAAGAATTAGGGAATGAAAATGGATCAAAACTCATGAAGAGAGATTTATGCCCGGGGGAGGGGTATTAATGAATCCATGATCCAGAATGGGTACCCAAAGGTAAAGATGAGGTGTTAAAGTGATTTGTGGGGCCAGGGATTTAGCTCAGTGGTGCCGCTGCCTTCCTTGCAAGTGCAAGGACCTGAGTTGGATCCCTTGGGGGGGAAAAAAAAGATTCCTTTACATGCTCTCTGCTTGCAAGGTTTTGGCCCTCTTTTAGATGAGGAAATTGAATTCCAAGTACCTTTCAGCTCTGTTCTATCTTTGCATAGACTCCTTATCTTTAGAGTTGTAAACCTAAATGTGCAAATGGTTGAAAGAGGAAGATGTGTTAGGGCCATATTGCCATATTGCTGTGTTTGCGGGGTCTGGTAAGGTTGGTGGAGTTCTGAGAAATATTATGAATACAATGAGTTGTTGGATGTGCAGCAGAAGAGCCTTGGTTAACAGCAGTCTTGTAAGCTGGTTTTTGGCATAAGAGGCAAAGAAGAAATATTGTAGGTGGCCTTGATTGTTACTATTAACAAGAACAAATAGAAAGGGTAGGCCTGCACTGCTGAGGGGTTGGGGGTTGACATCTCTCTGAATCTTAGTTTTCTTATCTTTCAGAATTAAACATCTATTAGATAATTTCTTTGGTACCTTTGATATGAGGAAGTCCAGCCAGAATCAGAACTCTAAACCCAAGCAAACCACAGCCCAAATTGTCCACTTATGAATTATCTAGGCAAAGTAAATGAGTATCATTTAATACAACTTAAAAAAATTACTAAATAATGCAGATGGACTTTCCAGACTATGACCTTTCTCTGGACAGGATCATCATGGAAATGTCCCTGTTTCACCAGAATCATTCAGTCGTGGTTATTTATTTAGATGTCTGTAATTGGCATGACCCGTTGAATGTATTCCAACTAGAAATAGCATAGATCGAACAACTCAGCCAACGAGAAGTGGGTTATTGTTTCATCATCATAATAAGTTGATTTGACTACATCCATAGAGCAGTTCTGTGAATCCCATGGCAATGTCACAGGCAGATATTGCTGCATAAATAGCATTCACAATTTCTTCCAAAGCACTAATGGCTGCAGTCAACCCAATCAAAGATAAAAAAATCATAAAACAGGGATTTGTCAACTCTTTCCAACTGAGCCTCACTGCTGGAGACACATTGTTTTAGGAGAGATGAAATGTTGCCTGCAGGTGAGTAGAAGTGCAACCTGAAGCCCAGCTCTGAGTAGGGTGGAGAAGCTGGTCACACTCCAAACTTTTTCTCAGATTTATGTCTCACTGTGCATGAAGACATAGACTTAGTGTGTGGGCCAAATTAAATTTGTTTTCTAAAAATAAAATATAAATCTGCTGAAATCAAACCTAACTAGATTTTAAGGGGAAAATAATCTTAATAGTGTGGTTTATTTCCCTCTGGCTGAGGGATATGGAAACTTATCTAAAAGGGTTTTTTTGAGTTGTGGTCTCTGAGGCTGTTTTTAAAATGATAGCCCTCCCTGTTGCCTGCTCTGTGCATGAGAGGATACACTTGCTTGAGTTTTGCCTGATGCTTTAGCAAATTTAAGGGCCATGATGAAATGTGAAAAAGAACTCAGTTCATGGGGAACGGTGTTTTTCTTCAGCATTGGAGTTTTAAGGTGATTGAGCAAAGACTCGAAGGAAGCTGCAGTGTAACACTTTTCAGTGGTTGCACGGAAGGATTCACTGTCCTGAAGGCTTGATGATATCATGAGTAGGAGCCACAAGCACAGGGCGATGATGTTATGGCAGAGGCACCGATGTGGGAGTCTTGGGTTTGCACCCTCGTCTTGCCACTCCTGAGAAGTGACGGATGGGGGAACACGTCACTCAGACTCTTATGTCTGAGCCTCTCTAGTGTTGTGCTGGCTTCACAAAGAAAGTGGCTGGACCACATGGTTTCGACATTTTAATAAATCACTGGATTCTGTCTAAGGGACAAACTCTAGGAGCCCCAGACCAGGAATTTGTCTTCCGTTCATCTAAATCCACTGCATCTCTGACTGGTTGCCAGCCCTCTGTTACACCCAAAAGAGTTAAAACAGTGAGTTTTTCATGAAGTCCTTCGTGATGACATGACACAGAATGGCCTGGAAGCCATGGGTGAATAATATGATACAATCAAACTGATTTCTAAAGTCTATAGCACAAGAGCCTCTCAAACTGGGATTTAAGATAAATTCTCTGCATCTGTCTTTTTCAGCTTTGCCTTTCATTTTGATCCTAACTGAACCCAAACTACCTCAGACTTACAAATATCGTGTTCTTTTCCACTAAAAATTCTTAATTGCAACATATTTCTATTGCATAAGTATCAGGGTTGTTAAGTCGGTTTTCTATGAGATCAAATAATTTTTTTTTTTGTAAAGGGGTTCATGGGGCTGGAAGTATGTATAGCCTAACGGTAGGCTCTAGGTTTGATGTCCACATTACAAGTCGGGGGAGAAGAAAAGTGAAATAAAGAGAAATAAAATTAAAAAGGCCCGCATAATTCTACCTTTGATAACACTTGATGTATCAGTTGATTATGCAGTTGTGCTGCATAACAAATCATCTAGCTAAAAAATAATTGTGATTTATTCATTTCACAATTGGGAGTTGACAATTTGGGCTGAGATTGGCTGGAGTTTAGGGCTCTGGTTCTTTCTTATTAAGCTCTGTTGTATGCCTGTGGTCTGTTGCTAGGTCTCTTAAGGACAGCTTGCTGTAGGACTCAGGAGTGTGACTCTGCACTGTCTTACATCTTCTAAGACATCAGGTGGGCTTGCTGTCCTGAGAAGGGACGTTTTCTAGAGTCACACTAGGCTTGTTGAGATCAATGCTGAGAACTGACTATTAGCTTTTCTAACGTTCTATTGATGGAAGTCAGTTATAAGGCCAGTTCAGATCTACTCTTCTCTCCTGTTGGTTGCACCACGAACCTGCAAAGAATTGTAAGAAATGAAGTAATTGCTGCCATTTTTCCATTTAGGAACAATAAGCTAACCTCTGTGGATTTCTCAGTGGTTTTCTAAGTGTGTCTAGTAGAAACTCCAGGGCTGCCTGGCCAAGTGTTGGCTCAGTGGAGGGTCCAGGAGGATTTATGGGTAGTGGCTTGGACTTTGTCTCTTTTGCTTTTAACTCAAGCAGCTCTGTTTTTATCTGATTTTGTATATGTTCCACTGCTTTATTGTGAGTGAAGTTTCCATATCAGAAATCAAAAGACTAAAGATGAATGTCCCAGGGATTTTGTAGCACTTGAAAGAAGGAAACAGGAACAGGGCCATAACGTAGTGTATTTGTTTACTACATGTATTTTTTCATTTTTCCCTGGTCTGAATTACTTTGTGCAATGCGCTTCTCCTAAAATGGTAGCTACTGAAAGAAAAAACGGGAAGATGAAAATGTTCAGCAATGGATAGATTATTCCTGTCCTAAGACATAGGAAACAAATGTAGGCTCTGTTTTGCAACCCAGGATTCACATTTTATGTATCCTTATTAGTTTACTTTTAGGCTAGGTTAGCTATTGGAAATAATCTAAAAAGACTTGATTTGTGTGACTTTGAGGATGTGTATTGAATCCAGCCTAGCTAATATTTTTCTTTGGTTCTGGTTTCAAATGGGGAAATATGCTTAATTATGGCTTGCATCATCGCATGGAAATTGTAGCATTTATATGTTGATGTAAGTTGCCTGAATGTAAAAGGAGGACTATGTATAGGTAAGGGGACATATGTAAATGGATCCAAAGCATGTTTGGCAAGGCAGAAAAGCCAAAAGGAAAAGGGGAAAGTCATATTACCTGCCAAACATTAAGGGGACACATGCCAAGTGTTGCCTCCACTTCCTCCAAATCTGTAGCTGTGTTTGCTTTTCAGCCTTTTACATAAAACACTATTTAAGTTTAGCCTCTAAAATTTTAAGGGAGAAGTAGAAAAGCATTTGAGTGATTTCAGCACAATTATTTCTGGAAAAAGCATACTCGAGTACATGGCAGCTTCTACAGCATATATTTTAAATGGAATTTGGACTTTGAGATTTAAACATCTTGGCACGAATATGGATGATTTTTATAGATTTTTAACCTATAGTATTTTAAAATTCTGGAGTGCAAAGATCTACATCAAATTAGCTAACAGTGTCTGTTAGATACTGCCACATAATATAATATGAAACAGAAGGCTCCAAACTTAGTGATTAAAATTGACAGTTACTTATTGCCTCAAAAACTTGAATTAACAGTGGCCTGCTGATCCTTGCCTGATACAAGCTTCAGGTCCAGCTTGACTTGGCTGGGATAACTGCTTCCTGAATAGTCATTCAGGGGCCCAAGCTGAGAAAGGAACATTCTCTGGGGGTGCTTTTCTCATGGTAAATAGCAAACATGCAAGAGTAAGTAGAAATAGATGTGTTACTTAAGGGCTATGCTCAGAAATTATCCTTTGCCACCTGTGCTCACATGTTACTGGCTGTATTAGACAGCTTTCCCATTGCTGGACACCATTCCTGACACTCCCAATTTATTTTTAATTTAGTTTTATTTTTTTCTCATTGACTTTGTTGGTACGTTTTAGGTGTATGGTACAGTTACATTCATTATTGGGATCTTGTACCTTTACATGACAGGCCTTGGTTCTTGTTTTTTCCCCATACCACTGCCCTCTCTCCCTCCCTTCCCTATTTACAAATACTTTATTTCCATTTTCTCATGTTTTTTTTCCCTTATTTCCTTTCCCACTTGCCCTACACCTTTAGCCCTTTTCTTCCTATTTCACACTGTCAATTATCTCATTAGGATCTTATGTAGTATTATAGTTTATTCACACCAGAGAAACTATAAATATGCATCCATTTTCCTATGAATGACTCTAATTTTCATTCTTTATGGCTGAGTAGTATTCCATTTTATAGAAAAACCACATCTTCTTTATCCAGTCTCCAATAGATGGGCAAATGGGCTGTTTCCAAGTTTTAGCTACTACAAACTGCTGACACCCCCAATTTAAAAGAGAAGAAGTTTATTTGATTCATAGTTTCAAAGAATTCAGTCCATGCTTGGCTGGCTCTAAGGCAAAAATATCACTGCAGAAGGGCATGTGGAATCCTTAGTTCATAGTGACCTAGAAGAAGTGCGGGAGAACAGTGCCAGAGAGGAAGGGGTGAAATACCAAATAAATACCCATAGTCACGCCTTCTTGACCCACTCACACACATCTAGAGTGTGCTTTACTAACATCCTAGGTGACTCCCAAGCTAATCAATTTGACCATCCACTTTAACTGTCACATTGTGCTAAGTAAGTTGCACGGTCAAGGCCAAAATCAAGAGTGGGCAAATGCATTCTGTTTTATTTAATGGGAGAAACTGTGAGGTTGCCTTGGAAAAAGAGATGTAAAGGACCAGGAAGAATAATGCAATCCATCCCACAAAGCCCTATGAGAATCTTGTGTTCTTTACTGCTAACCTAAGCACATCGCCAATTGCCAATCAAGACAAGGAACTTCTAGGCGCATATGGCCAAATTCATTTAAAAGAAAAAAAAAAAACCAAAATAAAAAAGAAGAAAACACCAACAAATCCCATTTTTACCGACACTTTTCTAATGTATGTCTGGATGCAAGCATGTTAGACAAGGAAATTAGAGACTAAAAAACTACCTATTTGTAGCATGTTTGGATTTTTTGTGCACTACTGCTTATAATACCATCTGACTATGAATTTTAATGATTAATTTGGAATAATAAATCATTATTAATTAAGGATAATGTATACCAACAAGATACTTCATTTATTTTTATAAAGGAAATCTACTCAAGTGTTTTAAAATTATGCTTATAAAAATATCAGGAATAGAAAAACAAATCAGTGTTGGATTTTGGAAGAAAAATGAGCTGCTCAGTTCTAAACTTGCTTGGTTTTTTAGTATCTAGCATTTGTACTTCTTGTCTTTCAGAGGGAAATCATTTACTGTTAGCCCCAAACCCACTTAGCTTCTTTCTTTCTAAGCCTTAATTGGGTGGGTTGGTGGTTGTTGAAGGCGGAGTTGAATGATGGATCATTATTATGAGTATCACATTTTTGATCTCTTCTCTCCACAGATTGATGCTTTGCCAGAGATTGTGGAGGCTGTAGAAGGGAAGGTGGAGGTCTTCCTGGATGGGGGTGTGAGGAAAGGCACGGATGTTCTGAAAGCCCTGGCCCTGGGTGCCAGAGCTGTTTTTGTGGGGAGACCCATCATCTGGGGCTTGGCTTTCCAGGTAATTGGACAAAGAAACATAAAACAGGATGCTTCAACAGCAAAATAAATGCATGAAAATGATCTCACTGATTTATACAATACCTTTGTATCTTTTCCTTTCTTAGGGTGAGAAAGGTGTCCAAGATGTCCTGGAAATATTAAAGGAAGAATTCCGTTTGGCCATGGCACTGAGTGGTGAGCTGTCGTTCTCATTTAAGTCTTCCTTTTTGTCTATGTCTTTGGTTGACAGAAGTGGATTTAAGAAGATGGAATCATTTCAGGCACACTAAATTCGAAGTTGAGTTCACATCCACAGGTATTGCAAAGAGCACTTTCTGAACTAATAGGCTCTACAGTGTGCATAGTCTTTTGTAGTTACCTTGTGTCTATCTTGGATATCATTAGGGATATCTTGGTGCTGCGTCATGTTTTTTCTCATCTCAGAACATGTGAACACACACATCTAAATGGCCAGGGCACCCTCTACTTGTCTATCTGTGGCAGCTCAGACTCTTCCTGTCCATAACTCAGCTCCAAATTCCCCCATTAAAGCTGCTCTATCTGATGTCTCTCTAACCTCAGCTCATGTTAATAGCCTATGTGTTACTCAGCTTTGTGTTGCTGTGACAAAAACCTGAGATCATTTTAATTTATAATGAGGGAAGATTTACTTTGGCTCATGATTTTAGAGGCTTCAGTCCATGGTCATTTGGCCCTGCCATTTTAGGCCTGTGGTGACACAGGACATCATTAGAAGTACATGGCAGAGGACAACTGTGCACCTCATGGTGGATCGGAAGCAAGGAGAAAGAGAAAGAGATGGGGCTCCAATAATCCCTTAAAGGGCACACTGTTGGTGCCCCAAATGCTTCCAATTTAGCTTCATCTCCTAGAATTTTCACTCCCTTCCAATAGTACCACAGACTGGTGACCAAATCTTTAATATGTGGATATTTTGAGGATGTTAGAAATCTGTGAAGTATTACCAAAACATATTATGAATGTTTCAGTTAAAACACGTATTACAGTAAAAGTCACATTGTCAGGAATACCCCTCACACTGCTCCCCAACTCCTCTGAACACACTTCTCCCATCATTTGGGTCACTTTCTGAAGCAGTTCTGGAAGTGCTCTTTCATGGGTATCTTCTGGTGGCCTTGATGCCCTGAATTGATTCAAAACATTTACAACCATTTCTTTCAAATAAAAACGTTTCAGTGTGTCCTTGTTCACCTTATTAACTAGAACTGGTGCTGTGCAACATCTGGCTTTTCCCCAATGTCAAAATGACCACAAAAAGTAAACTCTTTTAATCTGTTCAGGAATTGAGGTAGCCTCAACACTACAGCTAAAGACCCTCACAAAGGAAGATTTCTGGGGCTGCTTAAGGAAGTGTCAGGAGCAAAAGGGTCAGTTCAAACTGGGGGAATATTTTGAAATGGGTCAAAGGAATGTGTCTTTTACTATACTAATTTTTATTTCAATGTTCACCATTTTTTTGATCACACTTGGTAAATAATAGCACTTTAAAATTACCATCCTGTATTCCAATCCAACCCAGTGCTAATTCTCCATGATGTAAATCCAAATTGTTCAAATTTATTATTTCAAATAAATAATACTTTCAAATTTTCAGGTCAAAAATCTGAAGTCAATGACTTTTCTTTTTTTATTCTCATTCCATCACATTCAGTGGGGAACTATGTTAAGAATATAATCAGAATCTGATCTCACTTTCCTTCTCCACTGCTGCCACACTTGCAGATCTGTTTCTGTCTTTCTTATCTCTCTTCTCACAGTCTGTTTTGATGATAGCAGCCAGCATGAGCATTTTAAACTTCACTCTATTCTTCTGATCATAATCCTTCAATGGCTCTTCGTTTACCCAGAATAAATATCGAAGTCTTCGTGGTGGTTTGACTCTCACTAGCTTTCTGTCCAGAGCGCTCACTATTTTCACCTTTACTTCTCCCAACTGAGCCACATTTACCTCCTTAATGTTCCTTGCCTACATTAAGACACATTCCAGCCTTGTAGGTTTTCTCCTCTTCCTGGGTGTTTTCCCCTCGCTGTCTATGTGAATAACTTCCTCACATCCTCAAGCTTTCATGTAAACTGGACTTTTTCAAATGTGTTCATCTTGGCTGTTTAAAATAGCAATCCATCTTCCACCCATCCATTCAACTTCAGGTTTTCTTTTTCTACTTTTATTTCCTTCTTATTCTTAGACCCTCCACAATAATCTATACTAAAACTGGTTTTCTTAGATGGTATGCATTATGTACTATTTGCTTCTTTTCTAAAATATAAGAAGCAAGAAGCAGGGGCCTTTGTTGATGTTCATCACTACAGTATTTCCAATGCCTAGAGCAGTGCCTGGCACATCAACAATAAATATTTGTTGGAAGAATGAATAAATAAATAAGTGCCATTATTACTTAGTGACTGTTTTGAGTTTGACTCAGAATGGAATTCTAGCTGCAAAAATGGCTTTGAGTAAATTGTCAGCTGCCCCATTTTTGAAGGTAAAGAGGGATCCCTTTTTTGATGATTCAGATCATCTGAATAGATAGGACTCTAGAGATAAACAGTGTCTACTCACCACTGAGCTGAGCCTGTCAGACAGCCTTCATGAGAAGAATGCCATTCTGTGAATCCTCACTATGCATTTTAATTTGCTACAGACATATCCTAAAAGAGAGCTTTCAGCCACTGGCTCTCTATTAAATGTGGCAGAAAGAATACACTCTTTGTGTTAATAAAAATATGTGCCAGTCATTTTGTGTTAAGGGCTGTTTAGGTAATAAAAATGGTCTCATGCCACATAAGATTTGGCAAGCCTACCTTGAATCATAAACCTTACATTTGTCAAGTTTTACATTCCTTGGGAAAACGATTACCTGCTTGATTATTATTGCATTCATTTCATATTAAATGTATGCATTATTTTTTCAGGGTGCCAGAATGTGAAAGTCATCGACAAGACATTGGTGAGGAAAAATCCTTTGGCTGTTTCCAAGATCTGACAGTGCACAATATTTCCCCATCTGTATTCTTTTTTTTCAGCATGTATTACTTGACAAAGAGACACTGTGCAGAGGGTGACCACAGTCTGTAATTCCCCACTTTGATACAAAGGGTGTCGTTCTTCTCCAACAAAATAACAATCCCTTTTAGTTCATTGCTTTTGACTTTTCAATGGGTGTCCTAGGAATATTTTAGAAAGAAATGGACTTGCATCCTGGAAATATATTAACTGTTAAAAAGAAAACATTGAAAATGTATTTAGACAGCGTCACCCGCTGACAGGCAAACGTGCTGGAAAACAAAAGAAATCTTTTGGTAGAATTGCAGGTAGGGTACTGAGATAAAAAGAAAGTGATCTCCCTGTTTACTAATTTTCATTGTGTTTGGATATTCTTAAAATGGTGGTTCTTAAATTGTAAGCTCAGGTTCAAAAGGTTGAAAATGCCTGGAACAATTTGGATTTACATCATGGAGAATTAGCACTGGGTTGGATTGGAAGACAGGATGGTAATTTGTGTTTTCCAGATATTTAAAACTTTTTGACACCCTGAACTATGCTGTTTCTTTAAATGTTGATTTCCAGTGGCATATTAAGTGACTGAATATATGTAATGTATTATGGTGTGCATTACCTCAATAAGGAAGAAATAAAGCATTTTTTTAGAAAGAATATACTGTATCTGGTCCATTTGTAACAATATCAAATTCACTTTAATGTGTAAAGTATAATTGCTATCTTGTTTCCGCTATGCATGCCTCATTAATTTCCCTTCCTCATAGATCCTGTTCTTTTCCAATTTATTGTCACATTCAAGGCCAACTACATAATTTGGGAGGGGCGTGGAAAATGGCGAGGCAATGAAAATATCTGCCCCTTTTACAGAAAGAAGCAACAGCATCCTTTTCTGTTTTTCTTAAGCAGTAGTAGTGTCTTTTTTCTATTTAATGCAATAGTTCCTTGGACAAGGGGAAGTGGAAACCTTTCAAGAGACCAGGTATGGGCCTCCTAGGGGCCTGGGGGAACTGTCCTGCGTATTGCCTTGAGCCTTTTTGCCAGTAGGACACTGGGGACACTGGGAAAGGGTGCAAGGTGAGAGGATAGTGTGTGATGCAAAGCTTCAAACTCCCAGCACAAGTTCTGTTATCTCACTGAACTTTGTGGCTAAAACACACATTCAGAAATAATATTATCTTTTTTTTTGTATTGGGGAACAAACTCAGGACCTTGTGCTTGGTAGTCAGGCAGGGGTACCAATGAGCTAAATCCCTGGCCCCAGAGATAACATTATTATGAACATTAAGTCACCAAGAACCACACCAGAAAAACTATACATGTGTGACTCATTTATTTCACTTAAGAGTATATCCTCAATATGTATCCATTTTCCTATGAATGAGTCTAATTTCTCATTCTTTATGGCTGAGTAGTATTCTATTTTATAGAAAAACCACATCTTCTTTATCCAGTCTCCAACTGATGGGCAAATGGGCTGTTTTCAAGTTTTAGCTATTATAAACTGTCCCACTATAAACATAGGTGTGCATGTATCATTACCATATGATTCTTTTAATTCTTTTGGAAAGATACCCAGCAGAGGGATGGCTGGGTCAAATGAAACCTCTAATCCCAGCTCTTTCAGGTATCTCCATGTTGATTTCCATAGTGATTGCACCAGCCTGCACTCCCACCAACAGTGGAGAAGTGTTCCTTTCTCCCCACAACCCCTCCAACATTTGTTATTGTTTGTTTTCTTGATAACAGCCACTCTTTGTGAGGTGAGGTGGAATCTCAGTGTTGTTTTCATCTGCATCTCTCGAATGACCAGAGATGTGGAACATTTTTTCATATATTTACTTGCTGCTTTTACTTCATCTGAGAAATGTCTGAACAAAGACATCTTTTGAATATGGAGCCCAAGTGCCTTGTATCAGAAGCATGATTATGAGCTAGGGGTCACACAACTGTAAGGTTTATCCGCAAATCAACCATTTCACAAATGAAATGTAAACTTGATAGCCAAAATAATGCTTGGTTTCTAACCATCTCCCTTGTTGTTCAACCACTGTGATGTATTGAATAAGACTGAAGTGTTCCTTATTACTTTAAAGAATGTCTATTATTATTTTATTATTATGCTTCATTATTCTTAGGTCTTGTCAGCTCACCTTGGCCACCAACTCTAGGAAATTCCTAAATAACAACATGGACACAGGCATAAATCTTCATTCTGAAACTGTGTTCATTTGACTAAAAATAATCACTTGATCTGATAAAAAGTTATCTTCACCTATTCCTTCATCTCCAAGTATAAATATGGGGCATTACTGTCATATCACATAACTGCTTTATGTTTTTCCAGTTAATATTAAAGGTTAGATCTGTAATAAGGAACACTTCAATTTCCCTCAATTTCAGCATAGTATGTTCATTTTGACTACATCCAAGTACATGGCTGATTGGTGCCTTCCTAAAATATTCATGATTACCAGGAAATGGAGATTGACCAAAAGTGTTTCATGCAAGTTACAGTGAGAATGGGGAGAACTAGCCTTAATTTTGGAATTTCTTGTAATTTTTATGGGCTCTTGAGGCGTGCATTCATGAATATAAATTTTCTTTTGTATCTTCAGAGCTAAGATATATCTGAATGCTTTATGTCCAATAATTTTTCACTATCAAAACAGTGTCTTGTTTTTACTTTTTTAAAAAGAAGGACTTGAATCCAGTTGCAACAATACTAAAACCAAAGGCAACTGATTGTTAAAACAGGAATGGAGTGTGATGCTTGCACATTCCTTTCCAGGAGTTTTGTAACTTAAATTTGAAAAAAGTTCTTTAATTAGGCCACCTAACTCAGTTTTCTGTTCCTGAGTTTACTATTTTTTCTCTGGTTCAAATTAAATTTATTTTAAACTGACATATAAAAACATAAACAATACATATTAATTGGGTGCCAGGTGATGTTTCAATACATGTATATGTCAAGTAATGTTTAAATCATATTAAACACATCTATCTCCTTACTGGCTCTCAAAATATGTTGAGGGCTATGGCAACAGGGAATGGACAATTTATTTATGCTACTTATTTTCCCTTGCATGTTACTGTACATGGTGTGCTGGAACAGGTTTTATCAAACATTAGATGCATCAGAACCATCTAGAGGGCTATCAAAATGGATCGCTGGGCTCCATCCCTATAGATTCTGATTTAGCCAGCCAAATGAGCCAGCTGTTGTATGTGGACTATGGGTAGAGGCCATGTCTCACCGAAAAACACAGCTGCTCTTTGGCCATTGATTCTTTTGAACTTTATTTCTTGTTGAGACATAGCATGCATATAGCGTGCTGTGTAAAGTGCACAAGGCTAAAAGCATAGCTGAATAAATTGTACATCTATGTCCACATGATCCTTCCCATTTTAAGATATAAAACATTTCTGTCATTCTCAAAGTACTTCCTCCTTCTGAAATAAACTATGCTCACCTTCATTGCCACTAACAGGTTTGGACTGGTCTTGGATGTCACATAAGGGAAGCCACGTTGGAAATGCGGTAGTGTTTATTTTACTCTGCTAAATGTTTGTGAGGTATTTCCAGTATGTTGAGTTTATCAGTAGCTGCGTCTGTTCATTGGTCTCTCGCAATTCATTATAGGAATATGCCATACTTATCTATCTCTACTCCTATTGCAGATGTTTGGAAAGTTTTCAGTTTTTCTATGGAGAGCAGCTTCTAACTGATTTTTGTGGAAATACAAATTCAGTGTTATTTTGTGATTTTTCCAAAAAAGCTAACCAAATTGATTTTTTGCAGTGACTTTAAACATTAGCAAATATTTAACATTTTGAGCATTGAGTAGGTCATGCCTGACATGGGTGTACCCCACATCGGGCTCAAGAGCCACCAAGTTCTCACCGTCTAAAACATCTCGTTCTAATAGATGTTTAAATTACTCTGTGCCGTTACACGGCATCGTGCCTGAGATCTGTGGCAGTGGTGGGTGACTGCCAAAAGAACTTGCCAGAATCTCCTTTGTTTAAGCTTGCTTATGCTCTGCTACCTGGAAAATTGTGGGAGTGAAATAAACTTCCTTCTCTCCATCGGACGTGGAAATCTGGGTTCCCAGACCTGTAGGAATGAATGCAATGGTCTTGATGCTTCTTAGCGTGCAGTTTGCAAACTGCATCTGTGTCATTGCAGTGTTATTCATTTGCTTGTTTATCTTGCCAAAACATTGGTATTTATGAAACAGCTTTAGAAGGCTGTGGTAGATTAGGATAGCATGAAAGGAAGTTGTGGCTTGTTCTTAAACAAGGACTTTTCTCTTCATTGTAAAATCCATAATTTATTTACTGTCCGATGGACTGTTTCATGTCAGTTGCCTAGTAACAAAGTAAAGTTTGTCTGTTTAGGAAAGTCTGAAGATTTCTTATAACATAAACACAGAAGATGCTTTCTGAGCTTATATTTGCTTCAGGGTGCACTCTGTCACATGCCAATTTTAGAAAGACACCAGAGCAAGAGTTTGTTTTAGGTAATATAAATGTTAACTGAAATTATATGTTTATGTGATGAGAAATCTTACCTATTTTAAACTATGCAATTTCCTGTCTTAACCAAAAATCTAACTTGAGTGATAGGTATCTTCCCTAATGTAATTACCCAGAGTTGGGTGGGGGAAATAAAAAGTTGCTTTCGTAAGGTATAGTTCTCTGTTTCTCCACTGATAATTTTTTGAACTTACATAATGAGCATAGATTGAACAGAAAAATTTCTAGGATTTGTAAAAAGTCAATAATTTTGGGATCCTGAATGATGATAAAGCAAAGGCTTGAATTTTCATATTGAATTTAGTTCTTTTGATTTGGCATCACTGCGGAGAGGGCTTGGCTTTGTTTTCTGTCTTCTCTGGCTGGATCATCCATCTTTATAGCTGATGTGATTCCCAGTACAGTCAAAACCCTGAGTTTGTTTCCAACAGTGGGATCTTCTTTGGACAGTCATTTATGACATAATCCTTTGCTTCCTTACTAAACTCACCTTGTGAAGGTCAGGGACAAATGGCAGTTAACACCTCACTGGGTAATTCTGAACATAGCATGGAGAACTATGTGAGCATTGTATTGTGAAGTACAGGTCATCATTAAAAGGAAAAATCTAATCAACAATGATTATTAACAGGAAAGACAACAGAATAAATTCCAAAATGCATTTCGTTTTAGTGTTTATTTAGAAAAAATTAACTGTTTTAAAAATAATTATAAACCTATGCAATTGAACAGAGTAAAAATATAAGTCCCTATAGATTTTACCACACAGAGGAAACATTTTTATTAGGTGACTATCATCTTAGACATTAATGTGTACACCCAGTAAATAGCTAGCTAGCTAGAATTGTTTGTACTACATAATAAATTTTGCATCTAAGCAAAATCTTCAATTTAGTTTTATTTGTATTTAGTAGGAGAGAAAGGAAAATGAGAAATTCTTAAAATTAGTTAAATGCTTCTTTTCAAAAAGAGAGTACAGCTTAAGATTGCATGCTCAATGTATTTTAAAATCATGGAAATTTAAGAGATCGAAAGGACTTTTTATTTAGGGCATCTGCATGTTTCAAATTTGCAGTGTCAGTTGACTTATTTGTATAAAAAAAGAAATAATT